AAACCATCAACTGGCAAACCACCACCTGCTCGCATGCGTTCAAACCCTAAACCCTAAACCCTAAACCCTAAACCCTAAACCCTAAACCCTGTGGTGGGTCGCAGTAGCTGCACATGCCAGTTGCACAGAGGGGGATTTATACGCCAGAGGGTTTGTCTGGATGTCAACTTGAATGCTTCCTGCTCACTTAAACCCTAAACCCCAAACCCTAAACCCTAAACCCTAAACCCTTAGCAGACAGACGAACCCGTCAGGTTACGGGGAGGAGGGTCTGAGACAGAAGAGCCGAAGTGTATTAAGCAGAGACGCAAGAATTACTGAGTTAAAGATATAACATCTTCACTCGAGGGTTTAGGGTTTAGGGTTTAGGGTTTAGGGTTTAGGCAGCCCTTGGGGGCCCCCAGTGGACAGCACCACTATGATGATCGCCGGCGAGCTGCAGAAAGAAATAAATAAAATAAAATAAATTATTTTGTTTGTTTTTTGTTTTTATTTTTAGCTTTAAGGCGCTTCTTCAGGTGTATGTACAGCCCTTAAGCTAGCTGCAGACCAACCCCACCCATCCACACGCTAAACCCTAAACCCTAAACCCTAAACCCTAAACCCTAAACCCTAAACCCTAAACCTTCGGCTGCGCATACACCAGAGCGAATAGGTCTTTGTGTGGTGGGTGCCTGTGGCGTCGAGCTTTCCAAACCCTAAACCCTAAACCCTAAACCCTAAACCCTAAAGCACTGGAGGGTTTAGGGTTTAGGGTTTACGGCGGCATGAAGCGACGGCCGCTCCCTCTCTTTGAAGTAGTAAACCTCCCGCCTGATGCGCTAGCAGCAGGAGCAGCAGCAGCAATTGCTGCTGCTGCTCCTGCTGCAGAGGATGGCTGGGGTGCAGCAGCAAGAGCTGCTGCTGCTGCACCTGCAGCAGCAGCAACTTCAGCAGCAGGCCTAAAGCTAACCCCAGATAGTTTATATGCCTCTCACAAGCAGCAGCAGCAGCAGCAGCAACAGTATGATCTGCTGCTGCAGCAACTGCTACACACGAGCGGGGGAGAGGAGCGGCAGCAGCAAGAGCTGCAGCAGCAGCAAGAGCTGCAGCAGCAGCAAGAGCTGCAGCAGCAACAAGAGCTGCAGCAGCCTCAACAAGGGACCCCACGCAGCCGCTCCTTCTCAGCACTACGGAGGCCGTCTGCACACCGCAAGCAGCAGCAGCAGCAGCAGCAGCAGCAGCGGCAGCAAGAGATAATTCGTCGCCGGGTTGAGACGAGGCAGAAACAAGCAGAAGAAGAGAAACACCGAGCTCATGTAAACCCTAAACCCTAAACCCTAAACCCTAAACCCTACGTGCGAGCACCCAAATTCGCGTTGCTGCTGCTTGTCCCTGTTTTGTTGCAGCAGCTGCGCCTGCAGCAGGAGCAGCAACGGAGGCAGCAAGAGGAGCTGAAGCAGCAGCAGCAAGAGGCGGAATGGCTTGAGCAGCAGCAACAGCAGCAGCAGCAGCAGCAGCTTCAGGCGTTGCTGCAGTTGGAGCTGTCGTGTGCACTGCTGCGCCAAAGCGAAGAGGTCCGTATACACCCCAAACCCTAAACCCTAAACCCTAAACCCTTTTCAATTCCGTTTGTCTGACCTCCACCTTGAACTCAACATTTGCTGCTGCCGCTGCTGCTGCTGGTGATGTTGCTGCTAATGCTGCTGCTGCGGGCTGCGCTGCTGCTGCTGTTGGTGCAGGCGGAGCGCCAGCGGCTCCTGAAGCAGCAGCAACAGCAGCAGCAGCAGCAAGTGCGAGCAGCAGCAGCAGCAGCAGCACTTGCAGAGAAGAAGCGACTGCAGCAGCAACAGCAGCAGCAGCCGCTGCTGCGGCGTCTTCATATCCGAGAGGTTGAAGCAGAGCGTGCAAGGGTAAGCAGAAACAGCAGCAGCAACAGCGGCAGCAGCAGCAACAACGACAGCAACACCAGCAGCAACAGCAGCAGTAGGAGTAGTAGCAGCAGCAGCAGCAGCAAGAGCACCAACGGGTGTATCTGCAGAGGTATCTGTTCTTTCCGTGCTGTTGCTTACTGCTGCTGCTGCTACTGCTGCTGCTGCTGCTGCTGCTGTTGCGTGTGCTGTTTTGCTGCAGCGCATGCGAGAGGCTGCAGCAGCAGCAGAAGCCAAGAAGGCCCAAGCAGCAGCAGCAGCAGCAGCAGCAGCAGCAACAGCAACAGAAGCAGCAGCAGAAAGTAAACACATCAGCATGGTAACCCGACGGAGGCAGCTGCAGCGGCAGCAGCAGGGCTGCAGCAGCAGCTATGCACACCTTGGAGACCTGTAACGCCAAACCCTAAACCCTAAACCCTAAACCCTAAACCCTAAACCCTCACTAGAAAAGCGCAAGTCGGCAGGCCCAGAACTTGGGTCGAGGTGTTTAGGGTTTTAGAGTTTGTTTTGAAAGTTTTAGGGTTTAGGGTTTAGGGTTTAGGGTTTCGTTTGCTTCTGTTGTTGTGCAGCGCCCAAGGCGTAGTAGCACCTTCTGCAGCAGCAGCAGCAGCAGCAGCAACAGCAGCAAAAGGAGCGCGTTCAATAGATGCTGCAGCAAGAAGGGGAGGCCCAGCAGCAGTAGCGGCAGCAACAGCAGCTGCAGCGTCTGTTGCTTCATTTCATCAGCAACAGCAGCAGCAGCAGCAGCAGCAGCAGTGCGAGGGCCCTGAGGAGCAGCAAGAATCAGAAAACGAGTGGGAGTTGCAGCAGCTGCAGCAGCAGCACACTTTGCTGCTGCGGCGCCTTGCAGTGCTGCAGCAGCAGAAGCAGCTGCTTGCTGCTCATGTTTCGGGGGCCTGGCAGCAGAGCAGCAGCGGCACATCTGCTGCTGCTGCTGCTGCAGTAAACGCAGCAACTCGTGCAGCAGATTGCACCACCAGCTGTAGCCAAGTTCCCGCTGCTGCTGCTGCTGAACCGCCTGCTGCTGTCGCAGCTACAACCCCAGTAGAAGTAGAAGTAGAAGCAGCAGCAGCAGCAGCAGCACCTGCTGCTGCTTCTTTCGGGGCATTTGTTTTCGGTGTACGTAACACAAGACAACAGGAGAATGCGGCAGCTGAAGGCAGCCCTGCTGCTGCTGCTGCTGCTGCTGCCCCTGCTGCTGCTTTTGCTGCCCCTGCAGCTGCTGTTGCTGCTGCGCCTGCTGCTGCAGCTGCTGCTGCTACTGGGCGCCATAAGAGCTGCTCGTGGGGCCCCTCTAACGGCATACAGCAGCAGCAGCAGCTGCAGCAGCAGCAGCAACAGCTGCAGCAGCAGCAACAGCAGCTGCAGCAGCAGCAACAGCTGCTGCTTGCCGGGCGTACGCAAAGCAGCAGCAGCGTAACAATATGCTTCAGCAGCAGCAGCAGCAGCAAAAAGGCTAACAGCACCGGGAGCAGACAACCCGCAGCGACGCAGAGTGCAGCTGCAGCAGGGCCTGCTGCTGCATCACCCCAAAAACAACAGCAGCAGCAGCAGCAGCAGGAGAAAGAGCAGCAGCAATTGAAACAGCAGAGCAATACTCCTAAAAGGCTGCAGAAAGCGGCCTCCCCTTCACTGCAGCAGCAGCAGCAGCAGCAGCAGCAGCCCGCAGTGCAGCAACAGCAACTAGAGCAGCATAATGAGCAGCAGCAGTCGATGTTTATTGCTGCTGATGCGCTGATAGAAGAATTTATATCTGCTGCTGTATAGGCAACAGCAGCAGGAATATAAGCAGCAGCAGCAGCAACAGCAGCAGCAACGGCAGCAGCAACGGCAGCACTCTCTTTTGTTGTTGCTGCTGCGGGGAGGTGCTTTAGAGTTTGCAGTACCGAGGCTTTGAATCTTTTGACTCTAAACCCTAACAAAACCCTAAACCCTAACTAAACCCTAAACCCTCGCTAAACCCTAAACCCGCACCAAAGGCTAAACCCCCACCAAGCCCTAAACCCTCGCCAAACCCTAAACCCTAGCTATAGATTGTACTGCATTTACACGAAGCAAGTAAAGTGCTGCTGCTCAGCTGAGGCAGCAGCAGCAGAAAGAGAGACAGCGGCAACAAGAAAAACCCTAAACCCCAAACCCTAGAGACTGGAGAGCTGCGAGGTGCAAGGCGAGAGAGTAGGGTTTAGGGTTTAGGGTTTAGGGTTTAGGGTTTAATAAGGACTAGTATGGTTGGTAGACATACAAAGCGAGAGAGAAGCAGCAACAACAAACTTCTTTTTTCTGGGGCTGCATGCGGGTGCCCTCATTGATGGCCCCCTAAACCCTAAACCCTAAACCCTAAACCCTAAACCCTAATTTGGAGATGTAGAGGTTTTGTGCTCAGAATAGCAACTTGAAATAAACCCTCTTTCTCTCTCTCTGCCTTCTCTCTTCCGCAGCAAACACCCCTTGTTCGCCAGTTTTGCTGCTGCTGCTGCTGCTGCTGCTGCTGTTGCTGCTGCTGCTGCTGCTGCTGCTGCTACCACTGGCCTCTTTGCTGCTGCAGCAGCAGGGGTTTAGTGTTTCTCACGTTAATTTGGAGCTCCTGCGGGAGACGAAAGTGTATTCAAAGACATCAAGGCACCTTGCTTAACCCTAAACCCTAAACCCTAAACCCTAAACCCTAAACCCTCGTTGCAATGGCAGACCGGCACAGCGACTCCGTTAAGGAGAAACTTTCTCTCAGCCTGGATGAGATCATAGCGCTGAATAACAAGCAGCAGAAGCAGCAGCAGCAGCAACAGCAGCAGAAGCAGCAGAAGCAGCAGCAGCAAGGCAGCCCCCAGCCAGCAGCAGGAGGCCCTCAGAGACGCAGACGAAATAACTCTGCTGCTGCTGCTCCGTTTACAAACCGAGGCTTCGCCCATCCTTATCAGCACAATGGCGGTACGCAGCAGCAGCAGCAGCAGCAGCAGCAGCAGCAGCAGCAGGTGCAGCAGCAGGTGCAGCAGCAGCAGCAGGTGCAACAGTAGCAGCAGCAGCAGCAGGGCTAGCAGCAGGGTTTTTACGCTTTGAGGGTTTTATATTTTGTCTTTGTTTGTGCAGTGCCGGCAGTCGGGTACTCTGTCAAGGTTATAGGTCTCCCCACTGGTGAGCAAGGGTTTAGGGTTTAGGGTTTAGGGTTTAGGGTTTGTGTTTCACGGCTGTCTCAACCTCGGTTAAAAGCAACATTTAGCGCTTAGGGTTTGCAGTGTATGGTCTAGGGCGTATGTTTTGGTGTTTGCTGCTTACGGCTTACGGTTTAGGGTTTAGGGTTTAGGGTTTAGGGTTTGCGATTCAGGGTTACCTTGGCCTCGGGTGGAAGGAATGGTGCGGCGGTCCTTCGGCCATTGCGGCGGCATCATAGCAGTCGTACCTAGAAGAGACGGCGAGGCGTGAGGGTTTAGGGTTTAGGGTTTAGGGTTTAGGTTTAGGGTTTACGGTTTAGGATTGAGGGTTTAGGGTTGAGGGTTTAGGCTTAGGGTTTAGGGTTGAGGGTTTAGGGTTTAGGGTTTCCATCGACCTGGCTGAGCTGCACAGGTCTGCAGCGGCGTTGTAGATGAATGTTGATGTGGATACGCTTAGGCTCAAGCAAGGGTTTGGGGTTTAGGGTTTGCATATTAGGGTTTAGGGTTTAGGGTTTAGGGCGAAGGGTTTAGAACGGTTTGAGGTTTGTGGTTTATGATTTGTGGTTTAGGGTTTGTTGTTTAGGGTTATTCAGGGTGATTGATTTAGGGCAATACAGGGTTAATTAGGGTTTAGGGTTTAGGGTTTAGGGTTTAGGGTTTAGGGTTTGCGTTTAGGTGGATTCAGTTTGACGACGTCTCTGCATGTCGCATTGCGCTCTCTGATATGCAAAATGCCAAAGTCGGCGGCCAGTCTATCGTAGTCGAAAGAGTAAGTTCGGGTGTATAGGCAGCTCGGGTGTATAGGCAGTTCGGGTGTATAGGCAGTTCGGGTGAATAGGCAGCTCGGGTGTATAGGCAGCTCGGGTGTATAGGCAGCTCGGGTGTATAGGCAGCTCGGGTGTATAGGCAGTTCGGGTGTATAGGCAGTTCGGGTGTATAGGCAGTTAAAGGGATTTTTAATCGATTGGTAGTTGGGGTGTATAGGCAGGTTGCAGTTGCTGTTTGCTTTTCTTTATTTAGACGAATATGCAGCAGCAGTTAGACGAATATGCAGCAGCAGCTGATTGGGGTGTATGGGCACCTTAGCACCCTCCACTTGCTGCTCTGTATACACCAGACACTGCTATATATACTACCCTATTCACATGCAGCAACAGCAGCAGCAGCAGCAGCAGCAGCAACAACAACAAGAGCAGTTTAGATGGCGGAGCTGCATGCATAGATTTATTTTTTTGTGTTTTTGTTTGCTAGGGTAACCGTGTATCAACGGGGGTTTGGGGTTTAGGCGAGAGTAGCAGCAGAAGCTCTTTTGCTGCCTATTCTTCTTCTGCTGCTGCTGCTGCTGCTGCCTATTCAAACCCCTGGAGGTCTCTACCACTACCCTCTCCTTTCGACAGCGAGCATGTCTCTCCGATGCAGCCTCTACCCCCATCCGTAAACCCTAAACCCTAAACCCTAAAACCCTAAACCCTAAACCCTAGATGCGTTGAGTAGCTGCCATATCTTTCCTCTACCCTAAACCCTAGACCCTAAAAACCCTAAACCCTAAACCCTAAACCCTAAACCCTCATATATATATATGTATATAGATCTTGAGAGTGTTTGTTTGTGCGGATAAGCGCGACAAGAATCAAAGGGTTTGTGGTTTGTGGTTTGTGGTTTGTGGTTTATGCAGGGGGCTACAGTAATAGTATCGAACGTCCCTTTAGAGTTAACCCCGGAGGAAATAAGCGGTGCATTTGCATGCGTAGGAGAAGTTGTTGGATGCGAGTTGCTGCTGAACTCTTCGGGTGTACACACAGGTAGAGTTGCTGTTGCATTTGTTAAGCGTGCTCAAGCATTAGAAGCAGTTAGGCGCTTCGATGGGGGCGACTTAAATGGGAAGGTTATAAGAGTCTTCTTAGAGTAAATCTGTTGCTTTCACCCTGCTGCTGCTGCTGCAGCAGCAGCAGCTGCTGCTGCTGCTGCTGCTGCTGTTAGTGGTGGTGGTGGTGGTAGTGCTGGAGCTGCCCGTGGTCGTGCTGCAGCAGCAGCTGCAGCAGCTGCTGCAGCTGCAGCTGGCAGAGAAGTTGCACACGCGCGGGTGGGCAGCAGATGCTGTTCCTGCTGCTGGTGCTGCTGTTCTTGTTGTTACTGCTGCTGCAATGCGCATGCAGCAGCTGCAACAGCAGCAGCAGCAGCAGCAGCAGCAAAGCGGGTGCTGCCCAACTTGGGCTTACCCTACTTCCCTGCAGCAGCAGCAGCTGCTGCTGCTGCTGCTGCAAAGAAAAAAGAACAAAATAATTATTTGTTTGTCCTGTAATAGCAATTAAAAAGAGGGAGTTGTTTCTTCAACCAAACAAACAAACAATGCAGACCTCACCAGGCTGTATAGACACCCCAACTGCAGCAGCAGCAGCAGCAGCAGCAAACACACAACTGCTGGTACCTGCTGCTGCTGCTCCTGCTGCTGCTCCTGCTGCTGTTGCAGCAGCATATGCCGCTGCTGCTGGTGCTGCTTCGAACTGGGCTGTACATAAAGCTAAAGCGCAGGGGCCCAGAAACCTGACGGCTTCTGCAGGGTTTAGGGTTTAGGGTTTAGGGTTTAGGGTTTCTTATGAAGTCTGGAAGACGCACCTGAAGATTATCTCCAGGGCTTATTACGGTTTGTTTTGTATATATATACATGCATATATACATATATATATATATATAATATACGTATATATATGCATGCATATACATCTATATATATATATATATATATATATTATTAGGATTAATACATATATATATATATATATATATATAATATGTTTATTAGGGTTTATAGGGGTTTGATGAGGGTTTACTTTACATCGCCAGCATTTGTTTGTTGTTTTTTTGCTTTTTAATTAATTAATTAATTTTATTTATTTATTTTATTTATTTTATTTATTTATTTTGTTTATTTATTTTGTTTATTTATTTTGTTTGATTCTTTATTTTGTTTGTTTGTTTTATGTGCTGCTCTTCTTTGCTTCAGCAGCAGCAGCTGCAGCTCTGCAGCACCAACATTAACCTTAGCCTTCCACAGTAATGACTGCAGCGCAGCAAGACGCAGCAACTCTCTGCTATCAAGCTTGCCTCTTCCTGCTGCTGCTGCTGCTGCTTCTGCTGCTGCTGCTGCTGCTGCTGTGGATGCCTCACCCGTAACCCACCCTGTCCCCAAAGCCCGCTGTTGCTGTTGCTGCTGCTGATGCTGCTGCAGCTGCAGCTGCTGCAGCTGTGCTGCTGCCGTTGCTCCTGGAGCTGCTGCTGCTGCTGCTGCAGCAGCTGCAGTTGCTGCTGCTGCTGCTGCACTTGATGCAGCTGCAGGAATATAGATTGCTGCTCCCTCAGCACTTCCTGCTGCTGCTGCTGCTGCTTCTGTTGCTGCTGCTTCAAGCTATCTAAGCATTCCATGCTGCTCCTGTCTGCATTTTCACGTTGCTGCCTCCACTCTGCTAGCTGCTGCTGTAGCTGCTGCTGCTGCTGCTGCTGTTGCTGCTGCTGCTGCTGCTGTTGCTGCTGCTGCTCCTCAAACTGCTGTCGCCAGAGCTGGTGCTGACTTTCGTGCTGCTTATATTGATCCCAGTGTTGCTGCTGCTGCTTTTGCTGCAGTTGCTGCTGCTGCTGCTGTTGCTGCTGCTGCACCAAAAGAGCTGCTACGTCAGCAGCCTGCTGCTGCTGCAGTGCTGCTGTCTCCTCTGCTAGCTGCTTCTCCTGCTGCAGCAGCTCCTGCTGCTGCTGTCCCAACTCTAGCACTTCAACTAGCTGCTGCTGCAGCTGCTGCAAGGTCGTGGAGTGCTGCTCGGTTGTCTTCGCTAGCTGCTGCTGCTGCTCAGCTAGCTTCTGGCAGTGTGCTTTAACGGAGACTAGCTGCTGCTGCTGCTGCTGCTGCTCCCCTTGTTGCTGCTGCTGCACACTCTTCAGCTGTGAGTACTGCTGCTGCTGCTGCTGCACCTGCTGCTGCAGTTGTTGTTGCTGCAAACGCAACTCTTTAGCAGCTTTGGAAGTCTCTTGGGCCTGCAGCAGCAGCAGCAGCAGCAGCAGAAGCAGCAGCAGCAGCAGAAACAGAAACAGCATGAAGC